GGTGGATGGGTGATAAAGGCTAGAGAAAAAGCACCAATGAATTAAATAATCAAACACATGGGGGAAGCTAGAATAGGTGAAAACGGCTAGAGGGGGAAAGAACGTTATAATAAATTTAATAATCAAACACTAACAAATAAACGTAACCAGTTTTATTCATAGCCTCTTATTAAAGTAAAGTTGTTCCCGCATCCGATCCGGATAAAGGGGATTGCCTTGTTAGTGAGACAACTTCCTGGGCCTTCGGCATATTGTGGTAGGGTGGCCAGTTCCTTTCCACGCCCCCTTTATTTCCCCAACTCGAAGTCAGGTACCCATTACTGCTGGATGGGCTGGAAGGGAAGGAAAAATATCTGTGTCCAAACCGAGGCTCGAACCCGGACTTTTTGCTTCGGAGACGAGCGCAATAACTGCTCCGCCACCGCACCCTCATTCTTTTATTAATTCATTTTAACGTTTAGAAATATTTATTGTACATTTTTGTTGTCAATGATTGTCTGGTACGAATAAGATCTCTAATGAATATGGCACCCGAAAAAGAGATGGAGAACAAAAAAGGACCTGGTAGTTTCAGGTATTTGTACACTGCATGATAACAATAACAGCTTAACAGAACGCAAAAAGTAAAACTTGTATTTTATTTTGTTTTGTTCTTTTAGACTATGAATATCCAAAGTTCTGCCAAGGAAGCCAGAGAAGTACACCTATCAACAATCTCAGAGGTTTGGCACTTACTATCCAATTACCTCCTGCCAAACGCGATACTGTGGGTGGCCCGCGGTAGGGAAAGGGGAAATACCTCTTGACGATAACAAACACTGTTGGAAGTTGATCATAAATCCATCGTTTCTGGATAAGTCCACGATAACCGTGTTTTGGATGTTCAGAAAGTTAAGTTTTTCCGTCTTTTCGACTCTTATCATCATGTTTGCCGTACCACAACCTACAGTTCAAATCTAGATCTATACTCTAAACACATTATATTTATTATAAACATCGTACTTTTTATATGACAGCCGAGCTTTGGAAGTCACTACATTTTAGCTTAGCTAATGTTACCTCTCACACAAGGCGACCTCTACCCC